TTTTATTTTATGTGCGGCCCAAACCAAATTTTCATCTTCTAATGTGGCCCAGGGAAGGTGAAAGGTTGGACACCCCTGATCTAAAGGGAGAATGATTTGGGAGTGTTCTGGAGGCAACTAATGCTGCAAATGAATGGTTACACTAGCAGTCGGAAGAATTTTATTTGCAGGAACTTAAGAAGCTGCAGGACAGATGTCACAAGTGCATTGACTTCCTGGGGGGATATGTAGAATAGTGTGGCAGTTAGAGCTTCCTAGCTCAATTTTTTCTGGGAAAGGCTCAATAATTATCAGCACCCCCTCATACGATATGACTATCCTTATTTACATTTTTCCCCAGACAAGGTAAAGTTATCTGTTGATATTTCTTTCCTCCCCAAAGTTGTATCAATTTCATCTCTCCCAACCGCTGGTCCTTCCTTCTTTCTTCCTATCACCATCTTCAGCTCAAGAAAGAATCCTCCATATGTTGGATGTTAGAAGGGCCCTTGCCTTTTACCTTCAGAGCACCTAGCCTTTCAGGCACTCACCTTGCTTTTTTATCAGTCACCAACCACCTACCAAGTGTCGTCAGGTGACTTCTCAGACTATGTCTCAGTGGGTTGCGTCAATCATTTACCTCACATATCAGCTTGCTCGAAAGCCAGTTCACCTTCACTCTACCAGGGCAGTGGCAGCTTCCACAGCATTCCTTCATGGCGTACCTCTTCCAGACATCTGCGCTTCTGGAACATGGGCACAGCCATCCACTTTTATCTAGCACAATAGACTTGATCTCCGGTAGAAGTCTGATACAGCCTTTGGACATGCTGTTCTAGCCTCTACCTTGGCGTGACACCCTGCTTCTGGGTAAGACAGCTTACTAGTCACCCAGGGTGTGATTCACAGGGGCCACGAAGAAGAATGACAGGTTGTCCACCTATAATTGTAGTTCTTTGAGTGGACCTCTGTGATTCACACATCCTGCCCGACCTCCCCATGCTGTTTAAAAATGAAGTGGTTGACACAACTGAAGGGAGAGTCTTGGTGCCATGATACGGGGTGTGTGTCTTATTTTAATGTGTTTTTTTGCTACCACAGAAGCTCTAGAATCTTCCAACGAGGCTCCGCGCAGGTGCGGATTACCCAGGGTGTGAATCACAGAGGTCCACTCAAAGAACTGCAATTATAGATGGGTAACCTGTTGTTTTGTCACATATTGTACAGATTGCATACACTCTGAAATTGACAAAGGAAAGCTTTAACTAGCAGTAATATATTGCTGCTTCTGATTTCATCTTAGTTGTATATGTGAAGTTTCACAATAGGTTTTCAGTTACTGAAGTACACAACAGACTGTTCTTTGCCATTAACAGATTCATGTGTAATAAACCTCAGTGAGCTTTACTGGATTCACTATTCAGTTTTAACTTTTCTCTCAAAAGCACACTTTTATTACATCCTTACATCCCTATAGTGCTGAGAACTGATGCCCTGGCTGAGCAAACATTTTAACTTGGGATGTATTCAAAACATAGCCCTAAGAAAATACATGACCTATGGAAGGAGCTTCTTCCAATTCTCTTGAAATCGCTAACTTTAAGTGCTGGGGCACACTCAACTTTACCTCTGAGCATCTAGAGACCTTTTTCTGCTCTGTAGTATTCCAGCTTACCTTTTTTTTCATCAAGAGAAATTATTCCAATATATTTGGAATTTATCCAGAATTTACTGGATTGATAGCTGCAGATTGACAGGGTTGAGTGATGAACTGGTTTGAATTGCTCATGCTGAGTTTTGATCTCTCCAGAACAGGGACAATTATATCCGCTCCTGCAAGCTTCTCCTCTGGGTGGGGAGGCCAGCACACTCACCATATGGGACTTGGCCTCTCCAACCCCAAGGATCAAGGATGAACTGACCTCCTCTGCCCCTGCTTGTTATGCCTTGGCCATTAGCCCAGATGCCAAAGTCTGCATCTCCTGTTGCAGTGATGGGAACATTGCAGTTTGGGATCGCCACAATCAAACACTGGTAAGGTGAGTTTCTCCAGAATTTGGACTGCTGGTGTAGGAAGATGGTTAGGTTAAAAAAAATTCTCCCCCTAGTGGTACATATTAACTGGTTTTGTATTAGTTCCTATAGGAACGAATGCTTCGACTTACAACCGGCGCCTCTACATACAAACAAAACAGCCAGAATGGATTAATCGGATTTCAATGCATTTCAATGGGAATTGCTGATTTGACTTACAAACGTCTTCTGGGATGGAGTAAGTTTGTAAGTTCAGGGACCACTGTATGAGGCAAAAAGATGTGACCGTAAAATTAACAGAAGCTAGGAGTATTATTCCTGCTTTTCCTTCAATTCATCCTCTGCTGTTCCAGTCCTAAGTAAGAATACATTTGGTTTTATTGGCTACTCATGCAACTGGATAATTCCTCCCTTACACTCTATACATAAATTTTTATTCACGGCTGTTATTAATAGTGCCATTGCTTTTAAGCCCTTGGAAATAAGAGTTTCTTCTCTGGGCCTTGATGGAAGATGTTACATTCTCCTTTCTTTTAACTTTGATTTTCATTTCAGGCAATTTCAAGGTCACACAGATGATGCTGGCTGCATAGATATATCCCACGATGGTACCAAACTCTGGACCGGTGGCTTAGACAACACACTGCACTCCTGGGACCTTAGGGAAGGAAGACAGCTTCAGCAGCAGGATTTCACCTCCCAGGTTAAAAACTACCCTAGAGTTGCTTGAGTATTGTTTCTGAAGGCACCATACCTTCTGAGATTTTAAAGCCGGAATAAAGAACACATTTGGAAAATGCTGATGAGCACAGGGAAACATACCAAAGTCCACTGGCATGTTTCGTCTGATAGTTTACAGTTAGGCAAGCACTAGTCTAAACTTCTAAAGCACGAGTATCATGTTAGGCAAGAGAGATAACTGAAGGAATTAGGATTAATAGTGGGATGTTGCAGGACTGGCCACAGTTCTATTAATATCTGCTGTGGAGTAAATTATGGAACATTTCTTGTGCTTAGGGAAGATTAAGAGGGGCAATTCTGCATGAGTCATGTAAACAAGCTGAAAAATCTGCTATCAGATTATTCACTTTGATGTGGCACAGAAGCAAAGAAAAAGAAGCAGCTCCCCTCCACATCCCTTTTTATGTCTATTGGTGGGAGTTAGCTTCAAGCACCACTTACATGGTAAGGACCTGGATACCAATTGTAACGTGGCTGAGCCACTCTGAGGTCACCTCCTACTCAGGCCTCTCAGAATGCCCACCATGCCACTAAACACTCCTGCTGCCACGAACCTTTCCTTTAAATAAAAAGGACAAGGGTTTCTTTCAAAAATAAAACTTG